GTTATCAATTTCGAAGTTACATACGTTTTTCTGATTACTTTGTTTATTTATGGGGGTTTCATGCAAATTGCTAGAAATACTAAAATATACATGTCACCAATAAAAAAATCTCGACATGCTAGAAAAAACCAGAGATGTATTTTAATTTCGCAGGCCTCTGTTATCTTCGCAGCGTCATCCAATACGGGTTTTAAATCTAGTGGCGGCATCTGCCTAGTCGCCATGGAATACCCAGGGATCATACAGTCACTTCTCGTGGCGTTTTCTGCCTCTTGCTTCATCCTAGACATCGCTCCTTTCGTTTTTCCAACCACCGCAAATATCCACACACTTGCTTCATTTCAAACCATTGTTCTGTACAAATTTATCGATAGCTTTAAAAATTTGGTCGCTAGTGGCGTAAGTCTGAAGTGCTTCGTTTTTCTTCGATTTGCATTGCGAATGGGTACCTCACTAACACGAAAAGACTGCCTCTAAAATCGTGTTGATTCGCTCTTTGACAGTGTGATTGTGAAGTTCCAAAGAATAAGTAATATATACACGTGCGCGAAGCTGCTGCGCTTGTTACGAGAACAGCCCAGCCAGCAAAAAATCCGAAACGTAATCCAAAAACGGGAAGAAAAGTGGATGAAACGCGAATTAGGTCTACAAAAGTACCGAAAGTGGTTGTGAAAAGGATTTTCCGCTTGCGTTGTGCATGGAAAGTCTAAAGAATTTATCCGCACCACTAGTATACTCTAGCCACTAGCGGCATCCCAGGCATATGCACCCTGGGGTGCCGCGTCACCCACTTTGGGAAGGCCTGTATTAGACAATGATATTCCCCGATGTTGCCCGAAATTTCGTAAAATTCCCCACTCATTTCCTTATTTGCAAAAAAATTGTGTCTATTTTGATATAATGCTGGTCTCTCTGTTTATTTTTTTATTATTTATGTATTCATAAACCAAACCAAACTTTTATAAAGTTAGTTAACAAATAAAGAATAAAAAATGTTTACATAATATTTACATACATACAGTGGTCGAAAAAACTTTTGTCGCCCCAAATTTTGCCAAGTTTTCGCAATAATTTTTTATTTTTTTTTGTTTGTTATTTAATTTTAGTTATTTTTTTATAAATATATAGTTCATTCTTTAACGAAAACCATATAAATCCAAGTTTCAAACTTTGTGCAATATTTAAAAAAATCAACAAACTTTCACCTTTTCATTACATTTTTTAGAAAGATTTTGAGTGTGCAGTTTCGTAACTCACTCAATTCTAGTGAAAAGAAGTCTGATGAGGAGATGTGGTGATCTCCGAAATAGTGCTATAACTTCTACCGCTTAGACTTGGTTGCTTTTTCAATTTTTCCTAATAAACAATCGTGGTACAAAGCTCAATAATAATATTAAAAATTGAAAGTTTCATCAAGTGGCTAAAAATTTTCGTTTTTGATTTTTTTTGCCGAAGTTGTTGCGGTTTTCTCCATATAAAAATAAATTGTGTTTATTCGTTATATGAAAGCAAATGCGACAAAGCAATTTCAAAAAAATAAACGATAATTTTTAACCATTTGAAATTTTGTTGTACTATAATTGAACGAGCTGAAATTCCCCACAAAATAAGGTCCATTCCACGATTCCCCACGCAAACTGAAATTCCCCGCAAATCGGGGAATTCCCCACGAGTTGGCTTCCCTGACAGAGTCAAAAGCAGCATTTTTTTGCAGATCTTCCACTGTATCACATTCGCACGAACGTAGCAATGTTTTGCTCGATATGAAATAAAAACAGGGACGAAAATGAATAAATGGAACATAGCAATGCTCAAATCAAAATAAAGCCTACAGCGCTGCAGCGATGTTGCTGATAGGAATATATGGATATGCAACAAAGTTGTGTATGTACAAAGGAAACATTTCATTTGCAGATCTTCCGCTGTATCGCTGCCTACATGCACATGAACGTAGCCAGGGGTCGGCAAAAATGAAACTGTGACTGTGTTGGTGAGAGCGCGATTAGATATCACAGACAAGCGTTGCATTGTGTACAAATACAAGTGAGATATCTTAGCAATAGACGTCATCCTGGGCCACAGCTGCGATCATCTGTTTTTTAGAGTTGCTTATTTTGGTCTAAACTGCGCTTTTTTGACCTCAGTTGCATTAAATAGTCTCTTAAAACTTGGTAGTATTTGTTGTTCAAATGGTAACATATATGCCCAAAAACTTGAAAAATATTAGATGATTGCTTTTTAAAAATGCTATTTATAAAATTTGGTTTTGATTGCGACATTAGAAATATTCAGATTATAAACGTTTTTCACATATGTTTTAAGATTTTAAAGCTTTTAAAAAGTACGGTAGAATGCAACAATGTGCTTGAATTTGTTTGCTTCTTCGTCAGCTTATTCGTTTGCAGACTAGAAAAATGGCGAACAGCCATCAAAATACTGATTCAAAATACACATCTTTCACTGGACACACAAATGGGTGCGCGCAGCAAAATTCAGCCCTAATGGTAAGTTAATTTCATCGTGCGGCGACAAGTTAAGATTTTGCGATACATTTTCAAGCGAATGTATGCGAACGTTCACCGGGGGAAGAGATATGGGACGACAGCTGGCATGGCATCCAGACGGCAATCTGGTGGCTTTAGCATTAAGTTGTAACCGCGTTAAGATATTTGCAAAAGCTGAAGGCAAGCTAATACAGTGCATTCGTCGCCGGAGAATGATGTTGCATTTCACCCAAGAGGAAACTTCTTGGTGACTGGCGGCGGACGATACAATATGATTGCTTGATTTATTAGAGGGTCGGCCAATTTATACACGGTAGTAGTGCACTTTAGCGGAACCATATAATATAAATTTTTTCCTGTATTCAACAGTTGCTCGTTTGGAAATCTAATTTGCATACATTTGATGCCAATAGCTCGCAACAAACAAGCCAGTTCTCAAAGAGCCCAAATTGATTTTAGTCATGCAACAGCTCCACATAACTCCTGACAGTATTTTAATTGATCCACGACAATCGGTGGCATATGGAATGCGCGATGGAAATTTTCTGGTGCTTGATAGCCAATATACTACAAGAGTGAAACGCTACAAGTGAAACGCTGTGATCGTATTTTTTCTTAAATTTCCATATTTTATTTGCAGTTACATTAAGAAGCTCATAGAGGATAGAGCGGTTGGTGAGGAAGGTGTCGAATTACTGCAGTACTGCAACTGGGAAAATCCGCATTTCGCACGTGCCCCACTCGTATGGAATAGTAGCTTATGTCAAAAGGCTGGTTTTAGTATAATGCGGCATTCGCAGCATACCCTCACTGGCGCCGAGCCGTTGAAGAAATTTTGGATAAATAAACGTGCAAGAAATAGTTCCGATACTAGCACGTCCATATTCTTGTTAAGGGTCATCAAAAATTTCCTTGTGTTGTAAATAATAAAGGGAATGCCGGATTATACTAAAGCCAGCTTCCCGACATAAACTACTATTCCATACGAACACAGAAATATAAATGTATCTAAAACTGAATAACTCAAATCAAATTGGATTGCATTTGCATAATATACCTAATATTGGAATCTGTTTTGATCGTAAAAAAATACAACTTGCAATCATTTAGATTATAGTTTTGAAAGAAATTGATTGCAATCGTAAATTGTGTAAAAATTGTTAATAACAATCTGCCTTAAATTTATCTTCCCCATGTAACGGTTATAAAATACGTTAAATCCGCACTATCTGCATTAACAAAAAATATACATTGGAATATTTAAAATAAAACGATTCATACTTATTTTCTAATAAGAATTGTTTCTTAATTGAAAGTATTTAATACTAATATAATGTAGTGGTTAATGTTTTAAAATGAATTCGCAATATGTCCGCAGCTCAGGTTGATTTGAAGAAATCCCTTTAAATTTTTCGAATTACATCTACTTGAATACAGGATAGGCAGGGTTGCATACAAATGGTAGTTCCGTAAATATTTAAAATATGTTAGTTCATTCAATATTTGCATCTGGGCCAATAAATAATAACAAATATAGCCGAAAAAAACAAAGTTTCGAATAAAACGAGTTTTTATAACCCCCCATAAAATTCCGATTAATTTTAAATACGAAAATAACGATATTTTTTCATGGAGAGGTATTTTTTTAATATACCTTGTTTATACCTACACAAAAACCGGATTAGCTAAAAACCGATTGGACTCAACATATATTTCTTTACAGCATTTATCCCCCTGTCTTTATAGCGCACTCGATAAAGTCTTATTCAAAAGTAAACAAAATCTGCTATTTTTAAACGAAATTTTTTTAATAAATAATTTGCGCGGTTGACCGAAATGGAAACAAACAATAATTTTAATTTATTAGAACAATAATTCGAATTTAAAACGGGCTGTATAAAGAAAACCAGCCTATTGTAACTTCACTTTCCAATAGTGCGGATTGCTGCAAGAATTATTTAGCGATTTAGAGCATAATCAACACAATATATGCACATAAATATGTATTATTTCACAGATCTCAGGGTCAGCTTAGAAATACGTCACCAAAATTATATAAAATTTTAGTAGGAATTATTTTTATTTATAACGTAAAAGCGCTATCTGACCCAATCTGATAAGTATATTTCCCTTAAAGTTAACCCATTTTATTTAATTTGTCTCTCGTGAAAATATATATTTTATTTATAATTTTCAGATATGTACATATATTTTAAATTTTTGCTTTAATTTTTGTCTCCTTTTAATATTTAATTAGATACCTTAAAATAAGCTTAAAACGAAACAGCACAGCAACCCTTTTCTGTTCATCTTGGGAACACAAAACCCTCTTTTGTTAAAATTCGGCGCTGCACAAAATCCTGGCTTTTATATTTTCCAACAAAATACCACTTCGCAACCCTGGATTTTCACGAAGCGTTTCATTCGGGTCGTAGTTTTGCTACTTCGGGCCATTCGGTGTTGTATGCCATATTGTTCACACTGTCATCGCCATATTGAACATCCTGTCAACTATCTGTCAACCCTAAGATATCTCACTTGTATTCTTCCACAATAAAGCGTTCGTCGCTTGAATTGAATGAAAGTATGTATGTATGTTTGTTGGTTAATACGCAAGCAGTGTATATAAATATTATAACCTGCAACATATTGACTAATTTTCACTTTTTATTTTTATTTAATTTAATTTTATTTGTACTTTTTATACTTTTCGCACATCATTATTTTACGAAATATATATTCAGTATTCATGGACAGAGTACAGCCAACTTCGATGTTGCTTCGTTGCTTGCTCAGCGACGACTAAACGAAAGAGCGTAACAAATGCGTGTGATGAGAGCTTCAACAATTGTTGTATGGCGTGCCGACCATTGAAAACGTAGCAATGCTTTGATCGATATGAAACGAAAGCGAAAAAATTGAACAATTTTTCAATCTCTTATGTCCCGCTGAGACGGCACCTATCGAAATGAACGTAGCAATCACCGTTGCCGCTTTGGTAATTTTTAACCAAAATTGGTAATTTTTTTCTTTATTTATCAAGTTTGGTAATTTGGTAATTTATTTTTCAATTTGGTAACTTTTTCGATTCGGTCTTACATGGTTCTGATTCCACATTAGTAAGTGGCCCGTAACCGTATACTTTTATAGAAATACCAGGTAATCCTGAAAGGTGAAAATTGTTCCAGGGTTCCTTGGCTACAAGAATGGTGTGATCTTTAACAAACTGCTTGAAAGTGGCTATTGCTAAGTATATTCACCGTGTCCTTTCCTGGAAGGTTTTGGGTGGTCCTACCTTTCCCTGTCAGCTCGTCAGCTTTGCAATTACCATCAATTTTTCGGTGTACCCGGCAACCATATATATGAGTAGAATTCTACGAAAATATGTATGTTCTCGTTCAAAAAGCTACGGTATTCAGCGGGGGACTTCACTCTGTCCATGTGTGAGTCGAAAGCCTTCCTTCAAGCGTTGATTTTTTGATATATTTTATTGTCACTTGTTTACATACAATGGTCGAAAAAATTATAGCCGCACCATATTTTGACAAGTTTTAACATATTACAAAAAATTACCAAACTTATTTTATGTGCAGAACTGTACAAATATACATGTCGAGCCCTAACGTCCAAAATAACATAATTATGTATGTTTGTGTAGTTCTGCACATAAAATAAGTTTGGTAATTTTTTGTTGAATTTGGTAACTTTTTTCGGTGATTTTGATAAAAAATCTGTGGCAACACTGGTAGCAATGCTTTGCTGAATGTAAAAATTTCAAAATCTTTCGACGCAAATATTTCAAAAACGGTTCAATGAATCTTAAATCTGAAAAGTTTGTGCAAAGTCTCAGAGAGTCTCTGTACGATTAGTAGATCGCTGGGAATAAGCGCCTTGTTTCAGAATAATATATAGAGGATGTTTCAGAATAATATATAGATTCTCAATGACCATGTAGATAAGGTTCTCCGACTTGGCAAAACTAAATAATTTCAATAATGGTTTTCACTAAGTCGTTTGAGAATAGCCCCACAGAATTGCTAAAATATGTCGATATTTTTGTTTATGCTCTGAAATATGTATGTTACTGAATAATGATGTATGAGTGAAAACTATCGATAATGCTTACAAAAGTATCGATGTTTTCGAACCATCGATACTGTCGACAGAAAATCGACACATGAAAGAGGCTGTTGGCAAAGAAAAACTGCCAACTTTTCCCGTCGTTTGCTCTTCTTTTGGACTCGGAAATTCCTGCGGGGTACAACCCAGCACATTACAAGGAAAAATTTATTCAGTTACGATCGAAATACGAAAAGCGATCCACGAATGCAGTTAGTAGGAGTTGTTTTTTCGTCAAACGATGTGGGGACTTTTAATTCGATGAAATGTATCATAAACAATAAAAAAGTAAATTTTGAGTTTTTTGTTAGTTACGGCTTTTGGGTTTCAGGTAACAGTGTCAGTTACAGATTTTTTCATTTCAGGTGACGAAAGGTTCTCTATGGAACCAGTGTTATCTTTTTCCAAAAAATCGATTTATGAATCATAATGGAAACCAGTCTTGCCGTTTTAGCCCTTTCGTGGCTAGATTTAGCTACCACACACAAAGAAAAAGAGAGGTAAATCTAACCGAAAAAGACGATTAAAATTGCAGTGACCGAAAAAAATTGTAAATCAAACCGACAAAAAATTGTTATTATGAAAGTTCGTGAAAATAGTTCGGGTACCATTAAAAATAGTTAGCTTACCATCGAAAATAGTTCGTGTACCACGAAAATAGTTCGTGTACCACAAAAAAATGTTTTTTAACCATGAAAAATAGTTCGTGTACCACGAAAAATTGTTTTTTTACCATTAAAAATAGTTACTTTACCATGAAAATAGTTTTATTACCATGAAAAATAGTTAGTTTACTATGGAAAATAGTTTTTGTACTATAAAAATCCAAAAGTTGTCCACTTACCATTTTAATAGTTACTTTGCTAAAATAAAAAGAAGTGATTAAAAAAACATTGATTTTAAATAAATTTATTATTATTTATTACTTTTAATTTAATAAGTACATATTTTTATGTGTTTTACTATTGTAAATTAAGACAAAGATATAAATATATATAAAATTTATACATGTATAGTTTCAAAAAAACTTTGGACGAATATACGTAATTCCATTAGGGGAAAGAGTTGTATTAAGAGGTGAATAATATAATTCAGAAAAGTCCAATAGATAAAATTGGTCTGTACTTTTTATAATTGGAAATGACTGAAAATGGTCTGAAAACATTGCAATTGTGTGTTCAACACATACGAAAATTACTTTGTTGTTTTCAAGTACAATAATGTCTTTGATTTCAAATAATTTCAAAGATTTTGACATCAGGAAATATCCAATTTTATAAGTAGTACCTTTTATTTCCACTTTTGTTATAAAATTGTAGCTTTCATTTATTAATATTTCGCATTCAAAAGAACTTATATTTACTTTTTTACTGTAATATCTGTTTTTAAATTTTTCTTTAGATTGGTTTTCGAAAAATAAGTTTCTATCTAATCCTTTATTCAAAAGTAACCGATTTGAAAACTTTATCATACATTTAACAGCGATTGACAAAGGTGCATTCCTTCTAGAGGTAATACAATTGGTATACGATTTAATCTCTCTATGCTTGGACTCGAACCTAAAACACCATACATGCTTAAGAGGTCCTACATTTTTTATGATTGTAGCGTAATGAAGTAGAAAGTGAAATTTCGGTTTTAACGTCGGGCCAAATAGTTGTACGTAAATCGTGTGATGGTTCTTAATTTTTAACTTTAATTTATTAAGGGACTCATCGTCGAACTCTGTTTTTAAAATCTCGTCTATAATTTCAATTAATGTACAAAAAAGTTTCCAATGTTTATTGTGTAGTGGTATTAAATCCCCAATTATTATTGGAAGAAAATGGCAAAATGTCCACATTTCTCGTGCTGACATATTAAGTTTTTGACATTTCAAATGTGATATTTGAATTTCTGGAGATCTATTACTTAACTCAATTTCACCGTATTGAAATTGATTTTTTCGATCATTTAAAATTTCAATTGTAAACAATTTTTCGGATTCAATAAAATGGAGTAATATTTTCGAAACGTCATATCGGCAAACACCTTCAAAAATATCATGCATAATATCCCCGGTAAGATTATTTACCACATGAAATGAATTAATGTCATTGAAAATGGAATTCTCAGATATACCAGTTAACTTTATTCGCTTCTCTGGTATATCTTCTGTAGCAAGGTTTTCTGTATAGTTTAACTCATTCCGAAGTTTGCTCTCTATTTCCTCGACCATGTACGAAGTTTCTTCTTTATTGCATAAACAATATCGACAAAAGTAATTAGATGAAAAGCTTTTAGTGTAGCCGAGAATACTATTTAAACCTAAGTTATCACCCACAACTAGTGCTACTACAAAATAAATTTTTTTGGTTGTATTATCAAAGCTAATGTCAATTCCCTCTTCTTCAAGACTTTTAATTTTTTCTACCAGTAATTTCAATGATGCGTCATTTCCAAACTGTTTATGTTTACTTCTGAAGAAAAGAGCAGGGAATATATTTTCTAGTCGCGATTGGTAGTGCTGCGGCAAAGTAGGGAAACTGTAATAAAAAGCAGCTATTGATTGTGTCCCTCTGTGGGAACCCAAAGGATTATTAATTTCAAAATCGTCAAAATAAATAACGTAAGGAATTGCTGTTTTATCGCTGAATAAACTCATTTTAGATTTCCATAATTTTCCATTACCAATGTTTTTTAATTCATTATCATTTGCAAGGAATTTCTGTGTATTTTCCAAAGTATCTTTTAATACATTAGGAAGTTCGAAGAAATGTTTAATTTGAAATCGTAATGGCATTAGTACACCCTTACTGTGTTGCTCTGTTAACGAAATTGCATGGTGATGAACTACGGGCGCAATTCTATTATCAATGTCGAATTCTTGTGGGTCTTCAAAGCACTTTCTCATTTTGAGTTCCTTTAAAAATTTGTAAAATGTTTTACATTTTGAAAAGGGATCTCTTAAAAACGAAACTAAGTTTCTGAGTTGGACTTTTTCTTGTTCTGCAAAATCGAATATAATATTTTCTAAAAAGTGTGCTATTGGCAAAAGCAAATCATTTGTTATATCATCAATTAGTCGTTCTGCATCAGATCGAGCGAAATTTGATTGACTGTGCAATTTACTCAAAAATAGTAGCGCAATATTTTCGAACTCAGCATGAGAAAATTCGTATATTTCTTGACGTTCTTGATTACATTGCCGTTGGTTTAATTGTGGTGGAAAATTATTATTTTCGGATTCACTAAGACTCTGAACATTTGGAATTATATTAGAAATGCATGAATTCGCTTTCTTAAAGTGGCTTTTAAAAGTTCGCAAGCACTGATAATAATGACAGCAATGTAGACAGTAAAAAGTACTAGATGATGTTAAATTGTGAAAATTTTTTAGATGATTTACGAGTATATCAACATCTTCAAAATTGTTGTTGCATACAAAACACAAAACCATTTTAAACAAAAAAATAATAACTATTACATATATAATATTTAATAATAATTATTGAATATTGAAGGTGTTAAGATTTATGTGACTACGTATCTATACTTAATAAATTAAATTAAGTCCCTCAGCAAACAAAGGACATTTGGAGAAGTTTTATCTTCAGTCAATTCAATGGAATAAAAATATCTTTGGACAAACGTCCAAAACTCAATGCTATCCTGTGGATATTTTAAATGTAATACATGGAAAGTCTTAAAACATATGTCTAAAGCGCTTAAAAATGAAGGAAGCTCATACTTAATGTCGTCATAGTAAACATAAAATTTGCAATTACTTAAATCACTGCCAATTGCGATAATTAGTGGTTGCAATGTCTCACCGCGTGCATAGAGTGATTTTTTCAGATTATCCAATTTATTTTCGACATCGTTCACAGTACTAACTTGTAGTAAAAACGAGAGCTGAGAATCTTTGATAGTACTTCTAAAAATCGTTTTGTCACCTGCCTTCCGCTTTATATTAGGTCGTAGTACAACGTGCAGTAACAATGCTATAAGTTGATCTGAACCTTTAATAAAAGTATATTTATTATAAAAATCATTTAATCTTATTATTACCAATGTTAACAAACCTTTATCAATCTCATTAACTTTTTTCAAGTGCTGAAGATTTTGAATATCCTTTACCCTCTTATTCAAAATTGGTATAATTTTTGTTCTAAAACCTTGCCATTTCTCTGTTAGCTGTGAGCAATTCTGATGTAGAGCATTGAAGTCAATATCAATCTGCAATAAAGGAAAGCATTATTAAATTTTGAGTTTTAAATTCTGTAGCGACCATTTTTACAGCCAACCGACTAAAGAATAATATTGTGAAGGTTGGAGCTAGCTCAAACATTTTTCTAAGTTTTCCGATTTTTTTTGAAAGAGAAATGCAAAATGTATATATTTATTTTTTTGTATTTTATGGAAGAAATTGATCAGCACCCTCTAAGCAAAAAAAGGAAAATTCAGGGAAATTTTTGAGCTACTTCCAACTTGCATATCTATTATTATATGAAAGTTGATTGGGTTTCACAGCAGTGGTTCGGTTCAAAACCCGATTCAGAACCGGTTTGCAGCCGTGCCTTTAAATATTGGGTCATATGATTAAAAAAGGTTTTTGTTTTTTCTCAAATTTTCACAAATTTGACATCAATTTGTATAAAGAAACTTTCAAAATTTGAGAAAAGGTTTTGAAAAAGCAATTGCTTTTTTTATTAATAGGACGCATTACTTTCATATATAATAGTATTTCAAGAGGAAGTTTTTGTATTTATTGGGTCATTTAATAAAAAAGAAAATGCGTTTTCGAAATATTTTCTCAAATTTTGAAAGTTTTTTCATACAAATTGATGTCAAATTTGAGAAAAATCATTTTTTTTTATTAATATGACCCATTTGATTGTAAATTCAAACTAGTCAACCAATTCTGACAAGTTTAAACGTAAAACTAAGAAATCCATTTACCAGATTGTATCCACATGAATGGGAAAAAAGTTTCCAGGCCCGTAAAGTTTTCGCTGATGTGCTACCACTTGAGTTCAAAATTTCTTGTCGTCTGATTTTGAAGGTTTTTTTCCAATTTGCTTCAACTGTGCTCCACGGCGAATCAAAAAGTTTGAGCCAGTCATAGGCAGCTGCATAAAAAAATATGAAATAATTACAAAACAAAAGCTATTGTGGTGGCGTTACATTTTTCATCCTCGAAAGTAAATGTATATTCTTCTGTCGGTGATGCCTCAGGAGTTGAACTTTCTGGGTCCACTAATTCACCGGATTTCCTCAATCTCTTCAATGTGTTGTAATATTTATCGTACAAGCGGCCTGCTGGTCTCAAGGTAATAGGATCTTTGTGGTAGTAAATCGACTGAAAATAGGTGAAAATTTAGAAAATAGTTTTGTAATGAATAAATAATTTACCTTGTCATCTTTAAACCTGTTTGCAATATCTTGCGCAATAGATTGGAATGTATTTCGGCATATTTTGATTTTTCTTTTAATAAACCACGAAACAGTGGCATCAATTAAGATCTTCCTCCCAGCGTCATCTAGTTTGTCCAGTCGCAGAACATACTCGCCAGTTGGATGGGCACTTAACACTTGCTGCAAATCCTTAAAAATTGTAGGTTTTTAAAACTTGTTTAATGTTTTGTTGGGTTTGTGAGGTGCCTCATATATAAACTTACGAAGTCATGTGAAGATGAACTGGATGTTTGTGAGCATGAAGGAGATTCGATGCCATTGTTGATCCGCTGTCGCCACTGCTGCACAAAGTCAACAAAACCAGAATTGGCGGACGCTGTATCGCACGTCGACACGCTACCATACCCCTGAAGGAATTTTGCAACAAAAAAGATTCTTCATGAAATGATCACAGAGGGATTCACAATACTTACGTTTGTTTTCCTCCAAGTTATGAGTTGATGGCGGAATTCCGCTCTAGCACCAATGGTGTCGTTTTTAAACAAATCAGCAAGGTCAGACTCCGTCAGATATTGCAAATTTTTCAAGGTTATTGCTTGCGCTGGAATTTCACTAAATTAACTAAAAACTACAACAATGACAATGTATTTGCAACTTACCTTTAAATTCAGCGATTTTATGTGAAAATCCCCACTCCAAAATCAATTTACAAAATTCCGTGTCTTCTGGATCAGGATTATCCATATCATCCGCCTCCACAGCACGCAAAATATTTAGCGAAAACAATTCACTATTGTTAAGATTCATCAACACTTAATTTTAATATATTAATTAATTTAATTTCACTTCACTGCACCTACGCAAATAACAACGTCCATGAAAAGTTTGCAAATGAATATGAAAGAAGAAAAGAAGAAGCAAAGCATCAAAAGTGCCGTTATTCTTATCGCATAAACTCTCTTTTCGGTTAGATTAACAATCAAAATAGTAGAGCTACAATTTTATTCGGTTAGTTTTACTATTTCTGTGGTTAAAAATAGTAACTTTACCATTTTGCAGGTTGGCCATACCAATTTTTTGTGGTTAAATTTATGTGCTACAATTCTAACGATTAGTTTAACTATTTTTGTGGTTATTCTCATCATGAAGAGGGAAGAAAGAGAGAAGAGAATTACGTGAAGACTATCTTTTCAGTTAGATTAACAATCAAGATAGTAGAGTTACAATTTTATCCGGTTAGTTTTACTATTTTTGTGGTTAAGAATAGTAACTTTACCATTTTGCAGGTTGGCCATACCATTTTTTGTAGTTAAATTTATGTTCTACAATTCTAACGATTAGTTTAACTATTTTTGCGGTTAAAAATTTCCAAATTCGTATAACAATTTTTCGTCGATTATATTAACAACCTGAATTGTACTTGTTGTTTGTGTTTTCAATGTAAAATAGAAAAATGGTTTATTTACAATCTTTTTCGGTTAGATTAACCTATCTTTTTTCTTTCTGTGCACATACTTTTTTTGGCCACATAAATTTAAAATTGCCCCTAGCCCTTTTTTAGCCCTTTGGAGAATTTATTCATACTTGGCATGAAAAAGTTGTATATTTGCTTAATTTAAACTAAGAAAGACTGATCCATATACATACTATATGTATTGTATGTTCTTTACGTTTTTATACATACATACTGTAGAAGTATTAGGGCTGTTAACTTATCTATTAACTATTTAACTATAGTTTAAAATAGATAAGTTTACGGCCCTTAATATGCTTAATTTGTTAAATGGCCCATCAAGTCGATTGACCGTGTATGTTCTTGTGATGTGATTGTACCAGCTGCTGCTGCGACTTCAAAAACTATTTGAAAATTTTATGATTGTACCAGCATGCTGGTGTCGTGAGTGGTGAAATTAGCTAAATTTTCTAAGTAAAAAATATTTTGGCGGAAATTTTTTGCACTATATGAGTCAAAGCCGTGTTTGTGGAAGATTAAGTTCTCGATATTGCAGTTGTGAATTAAAAAAAAAAAACAATGTTTAAGAAAATGGTAGAAAAATTATGAAATTTCGGCTCTAATCATTTCGATCTTTCCTCGACCTCATTTGTAAAGAAATAAATATTGTACCAGCATGCTGGTAAGTTATGTGCTTTGAGCCAATCACTTGATGGAGCCAGCAAGCGGGTGTCGTATATGTATTTCCCCTTTTATACAAAAAGGTTTTTGGTTGGATAAAATATTTGCTTTTGTCCAGAGTTCATTGTTTTTCTATGCCATTACTTATTGAAAATGTGTTCGTGTATAGTTTTAAAACATCGTTCACTCAAAATCGGTTCGCGTTCCAGCAATTTCTGTGCAGCAATTGTTGGAATGTATTAAAAAGTTGCAATGCAGATCGTTAGACAATAGATCTACCATTATGAGGTTTAAATTTCATAGTACTGGCTTTTTATTTGACAGTTTTATTCGCTTTGGAAGTTGCTGCTCAAAAAATAATGTTGAACAAATTCGTTGAAAATCCAACATTTTCGAGATCAAAAATCAAATTAAAATTAAATATACCAAAAACTTATAATTATCCCCCAAAAATCAATGAATAGATTCCTTCTGCTTAAACTAACGGGGTGAGCTAATCATTAAAAGACATCATTTCGCACCAGCTTAAGGCTCTTTACCTGAATTAGGAAAAAAAACGGCTTATCAGAAGAAGATCGTGCGAGAGAATTGGAAAACGGTTATCCGCTGTTCAGCGAATGCAAGCTATGGCAAGACTTAAACCTTATCGAGTTATAATATATAAAATTCTGTTAGATTAAATACATTTTATAACAAAAACCGCACCCGTTTACATTACCCCAATGTTCACACTAAGTGTGGTATTTTATAATAATGACTAATAAAACATTTTTAAAACTGGACTTCGGTCAACTCCCACGTTAAAAGTTGTAAGCTAAAAAGAAACAGGGTGATATCCTCTTACAACTAAATCTATAGAAGTTGACACAGTTGTCAAAAGGCTATGAAATGACAAGAGAATCGAGGCAGTCTCATTAAAACTCGATCAGACTCCACAATGGGTCATATGACCCCAGAAATATGCTGGAAGGAGCGCTTTCACAAAGTGTTATTTCATTGTATCATTTACTTTGGACCTTTTGTAAAGTGTTGGCGGGTTTTTATGAAAACTAATTATTCACAGGTAACTTTAAATCGGTTTGAAGCCAATGATGTGAATAAAGTTCTGGAAGTCATCAATTTACGAATATCACCTATTTAAGTCAAATCGAAAAATACATGGTATTTATTTAAAACAAAATTAGTAGAGATGTGCGAGCCGTGGAAAAACATAAACTAAAGATAGTTTAGTAGAGCAAGTTGACTACACAAGTCTCTAGAATGGGTGTTCAGAAAATTTTTATCATTATCAAATAAATTGTCTCTTATTTATTTATCCAAGCAAAATATGAAACTCTCGCTAACATGTATCTATAACGGAATGTTTTCTCTTTATTCTAACATATTAAATATTATTTTCTGAAAACCTATTAAAAAGATATAACCCGAACGATGCTTTATATGTATATGTAGTAAAAAATTTTAGTTACCATTTTTAGCCACAAGGAATTTTTTAGCCCTTTTTTTAAAGGAATTTGGCTACCACTAAAAATGATTCGCGGCAACACTGATGGAAACACTGCTTTATCAATCAAGAGTAAATTGTTGTTGTCACAATACAACGAATGTTCTTTATTTATGTGAATTTCTTTATTTTAGCTAGCTGTATAAATTGTATTAATAAATAATGGTAGGGATCAATTAAGATTGAAGTTAATTTAGGCGGTGCCTCAAAGCATAGCAATGGTTTCAAAGTAGCCCTCGGTACGAACTCGGTTGGACACGACTGCTCTAAACTGCCCACAATATGTAGCTGTGGATATGGTGTATTATTTCTGATGTACCTGATGTAGCTAGCGAAATAGCTTGTGGCTGTGGTACCACATTCTGTTTAGCCAGTAAAGTATCCATATTAGGGTGCCCTTTTTCGGTGACTTTGTTTTTTTTTTACTCCCATCTCAAAATTTGTTTGAGATATGCCTAAAACCAAGTTCCCCGAAAATTTGAGCCCTTAATATTAACATAAAGTGCTCGACCAAGGCGTGCGGGTCACTAAACCCAATATTTTCATGAAATTCCATTTTTTTGCCCCTATATCTTAAATAACAAGAGCTACAGAAAACATGTAAATGACAAACTGCTTTGCGTTGGCATGTGATTATATGTCGAACGCTCATGAGAGGGATGTCAGAAAAGTATTTATGCTTCTACACCACATCAAAAAATTAAAAGTATTGTTCATAAGGAAGCCTTAAATTAAATTAAATTAAAACAAATTAATTAAATTAAACAAGAAAAATAGTGAAAATTAGACTGTATTAGTTTTAGGTTCGGAAATCCGGATATCCCGTTCGAATTCCCAGCCCTAGTGTCAATATTTATGGTAGGGCATTGCGACGTCTACAACAGATGCCTTGTAAAGGAGCTCAAATTAAGTGTTGAATTGGTAGTGGGAGAAATACTCCCTCGCGCAGTACGGTCGATCACCCCGGTGGACGAGCATTTAGGCATAATCTGCATCAAAGCGTGCTTCTTCAACATCTCACTCATTTACGCCACTCCCCAACGGAAGAGAAGGACGAAGCATCCAAGGATCTCTTATATAAGCCACTCTTTTCTAAGTCGGACGGATTTCGTAAAATTATTATGTCATGTCTCCGATTCGCTTCAATTTTTTTTATGGGTTCTATACATGAAATAAGCTAACACTTGTTCGAGGAATTTTTTTTCTTCGGAGATATGATCTGTCAAAGTGTGCATTTTTTCGTGATTCTGGCTAATCATGTACTTCTTCAAATCGTTATATCTCGGGTTCGCGCAGACTTCATCTTAACGTCATTTTAAAGCTAAAGAAACGCGCTTAACATTTCTATATACAATATGGTCAAAATTGTCCTAAAGCTAACTTAGCTATTAACATCTGAACTTTTTGAAGTTGATTTGCATAGTGAAGAAGAATTAGGGATTTAAAATTATACCATCGTAATCCTTATTTAATTCTCTATAAAAAACGTGGTTAAAAAAAAAATGGGGGTTTTCAAGAACTATTTTTAAAATATTTTTCTTTTTGACGAGATGGTTTATTTTGTGAGAATCAACAATGTTTGTAATTAGTTTTCGAAAACTTATGTTGATATATATTTAGTAAGGTGTTAAACAGCGGGTTTTTGCAAAAAGTAAAACTTTATTGCGGATTCCGATAGAATACCTATCCAGAAATAATATTTGTACGGCAAGTTTTTTTTGTAAGGTGACAAACCCCTAGAAATGGGCGTGGCAATTGCAGGACTAAAGTTAGCAAAACACAGATTTTATTTCGGATTTCGGCAGAATATCGCTTAGTTAATAACATTTGTTCCACAACTTTTTCAGTCCATAAAAAAAAAAATTGAAGCCAATCGGAAGTGTGACACCAAATTTGGTGTCCGATATGAAAAAGAATGTCTCATATGCGCGCACATACGACCGCTGCCCCCATCACGATATCAAAATCGTGCTTGGCGATTTCAACCACCGTTGGAAAATTCAGCCTCCACGACAAATTCTCTGATAACGGACTGAGGCTGATCACCTTTACCGGGGCCCGAAACATGGTAGGATGTAGTATTAAGTTCGGTATAAAGAGAACCTTCAAGCTGCATGGCTGTCTCCAGATCGAAAAACGATAACGCAATCGGAAGACACGCTTCCAGTATTTTAGACGTGCGCACACTCCGGGGGCCACACCTAGACTCGGACGTCTCTGTGCAGCAAAAAATGTACGGCCAACAATGCAAGGAAAGCTTAACGTCGAAAACCTGCAATCACAACAAACCGCTGATTAATTCGCCACCCTACTCTCAGTGATCACTATTCAAGGAATCGATATATGCGAGCAGTGGAACCACATTTCCCGCTGAAGAATTTGTGGGATTTCAGCGAGCTCTAAAGTAGTGGTGCAATACTACCGATGGTACCATCGATAGCATCGATAGTTTTAATTTTCCAACACTTCCGATGGTTTTTAAAAACTATGGATAGTTAATTTACTTAGAGTTAATTCCGTTACTGTCCGTTCTCTGGAACATTCGAAGCGCAGGTAATATCCGTCCAAATATTCTTTTGTAAAAATAATAAATTTTGTGCAATTTTGGGTATTTTTCTGTGCACCGTGAGAGCGTTTTGCAAGACGCAAGAGAAGAATGAGCTACATATTAAATCAAAATTAACGGAAAAGATTTTGAATGGAAAACATTTTAAATGTTGTACAAAAAAAAAAAAAAAAAAAAAAAAAATACTTCTGTGAGTGATTGTACATATATTTCTACATTCGCTGATTTTTTTTTTGACGCATATACATCTACACTTAACGTGCATTGAAAAACAAGAAATTTTGATTTCATCGATAACTATTCATAAGCGCACACAAATTTTTTCGCTTACAAAGTTTGTTACATGCAAATTTTAAGCGCAGTTACGTATGTGTGTAAAAAAACACGATTCATTTTTGAAAGAACCGAGTATATAAATACATATATCTATTTGAATTAAATATATTGTGACTCAATTGAATAAAATTCTTTTAAATTCGTTCAAAATGAATTATCATTAACACTTTATTTATTATTATTTTTTAACGATAATATCGCGATAGTATTGATAGTTTTCCGGGAAATTGCTCAACGATTGATAGTTTGACATTAATGATATTATCGCGATTGTATCGATAGTCGTTCCCGAAATTGCGAAAACTATCGATGGTGTGACTACCGATAGTTTCCCACTTCTACTCTAAAGAACAGTTGGTACGATGATGGTCGTCGCGGTGCTGCACAGAAAAAAGATGCCGCCGCAGGATCATGCTGCGATAAGGTGTAACGCGAGCTATGTAGCACCTATAGCTGAAAAAGGAAGAGATAGAGGTTGAACTACGAGAGTGCAAAAAGCTCGAAATCCTGGACAATAGAAAAAACACCCAAAAAGTACAAGTAGCCTACACGTCTCACCGGAGTACACCCGAGCAACATAACTTCAACACCCCCACACAAGCAGCCCTTGATTCCTCACACATTCTGCTGCACTGGTCCAGGATATATCGCTATGTGACATTTGTTCAAAGTATCGTCTGCCGTGGCTGGTGTCACTTCAAACTATATTCTCGGCTGCACCGTGCAGTATCGTCTCATCGAAGAAGACATCGGCCGTGGGGATACCATTCTAGAATTTCAGTGCATTGCTATCCTGTCAGGCGATATCGAGCGTTAACGTTTATATACCCCCTGTCACCAGCTGCCCGTCTAGAGATCACCCTGATATATGTAGGTGCGCTCCTCAGCCTGCCCATAATCGTTCTGCCGAACCGAACCTACTTCAACTTTAACAAAGATGATTATGATTGCAACGGCTTTGCAGAAATTACCAAGAGCACCTTCGCCGCCGGAAATCGCCGTATCAAGGATCTCAATCTATAGATTCGGCAACTGGTAGCCCAACACAAGCGGAAGAAGTGGGAGCAGCACCTAAATACTTCGAATTTCGCCTTTGGTGGGAGCAAGCTTTGGTCAACTGTACGGCCATTGTTAAACTCGACGAAGCGCGATGAGGGAGTGGCATTCGGTGGTGCCTCGGCGGAGCGGAGCCATGCGAGAGCCATTTTAACCGGCTGTTCATTCTGCATCTCCCGGTGGACAAAGCCAACCGTTCAGTGGCCAGAAGGCTGCGCTAACTACCAACACCTTGAGATTTGTTGTACAATTAAGGCTTTAAAGAAGGGAAATCTAGTTTTTTTAAGTAAAGCATAAGGCATGGGTTCCATATATGTAAGTATTGGGCGTAATTTTAACCCAGTCACCCTATTTTTATTTTTTTTCTCCAGCTTTTTGGTTGACGGAGTCAATGGTTACACACATAATTAAACTATTCTAAGAGCAGTGGAAAGATACAAAACCTTCCGCTTTTCAACGAACATAAGGTTATCAGAATCCGCGGAAAACTGTCCTACTTACAGCATATATCTGAGCTTGTGGGAATCAGAGAAGTTTCTTTTTAATTTCGTTTTGATGAATGATTAATTTTGAAAAAAGCGAACATGAAGAAAACACCTTGATTATTTTAAGTTTTATTCCACTTTTTATCAAACTACACGAAAATTATGTACTATTTTGATTTACTTGAATTGGCGTACCATTCATTTAAAATCTAATATATAATACTTTTAGTATGGGATACTACACCCTTAATTCCAATGTATGGAAAAAACCCTTATCCGGTAGACAATTCTAGAGGTGCTTTGAAAAATCAAGGACATCTCGCTGCTTACCATTTTAATCGCCGGAAAGAACAACTGCCAATCATCACATGGATTATCTGACACGCAAACATTGCAAAACATCCATTTCCAAATATTTCCATTAAGTTTAGGTCCTGTGAGTAGAACATACTCTGAAAAAAATACGACTTTGCTTTGATATCCTCGTTTTTACAGCTCCTGTAGTGCGAATCGGTGCGCAATTTTGATACCATATTCAAGAAGAAGATGCGAAAATATGCGACTAATGCTAAAAAAATTTCCTTAATACTTGTTTTGCATGAATTATTCGTAATTTTGAAAACTTGAAATATTATCTCAACTGCTTTGGACTACGAAATCGCAGTTCAGAACGCCATACTCTCTTCTAGATCATGGAGGATAAACAAACGACTTTCGTCCTTGCGAAATCGTGACAAGTATTAGTAAATTCGTTGAAGCCATCAAAATTTAACTTTTCGCCAGAGAACTCCACAATTTTGTAGTTGTCCTCTCAGGCATGCGTATTGTACAAAATTCCAATAATGATTTTAAACGTATAGTAAAATTGATGTCGTTTTTTGACATTTTCTGAATACAAGTATATAGAGTAATCCGTAGTTTCCTTGTGGTGTCATCAACACCAACGTTTCTCTTTCATTTTGGTCCACTATCTCGACAATAAGATGCTAGCTTTTGTGTTATGGCTCCATTTCATGCTTTTTTCATGCTTCAGCTATCAAAAACACTTGCATTTGCTTCAGTTTTATTTTCAACAAATCGCCTGCCAAGTCCAGGTTCCGTGAAGCCTTCCTTTTGTGCATTTTTTGCAGTTGAAAGTGCGCCTGCTTCGCCCATTCTTGCTCTGTTATACACCTAATTATCTTTTAAATTCTTAAAAAGGTTTTAAGTACAATTTTAATAACTTTGTTATACTCATAAGGAGGCTACGCATCCTTGTACCTATTCAAGTGAATCAAAATAATACGCATAATTTTCGTGTAGTTTGACAAAAAATTGAAATAAAATCAAAGTATCAAGTTGTTTTCTTCATTTTCATCGCTTTTCTTCAAAATTGATCATTCTTCAAAACGAGATTAAAAAGATACTTCTCTGATGACCACAAGTCCAGATATAACCTTGGATCTTGAAAAAAATATGTGTATCTATTCAAGTGAATGAGGCCGTATGACCAGTGTTGACCCAACATCCCGATTTTAAGTTTTTTGATCTTAAAATATTTTGGGGGTGAAAGTATTTTTAAGACCTGTCCTATCCCCTCCACTAAATGACATAAAAAGTTCATGCAACCGGTTTTTTTTTGTAGCACAGTGTAATTTATATTTTTATAAATGAATCATTAATTATTCGAAAAACTAAATGCGCAGTTATTATTTTACATGTCGAAGACTTGATTTTGAAACTTTACTTTTTACTTTAAAAGAGCGTAAAAAAGCAATAGAAAAACAACCAATCATAGCGCCGAAGTTGTTTTCGGTGTTGTTTGTTTGTGAATAGTACTGCATTTACAAAAACAAGCTGTATATAATCTGGTAAATTAACCAAAGAGTAAAAGTGGAACATCATGTCGAACTTATTCGCTGAGCGGCAGTGTTTTTGCTTTATGTGCTATTGCTATGGTTTGATTAGTTTGTGCGCTGATTGTTCTGTGAGACCTGACTTTATCCGGCTGGGTTGAAAATAACGAATTTACTAAAAGATGGTCATAACTCAAAAAAACGGCATTTTTGAGAGGTTATGCAGAGTTACTCCTTAAAACTTGCTTCATATTAGATGTTTTCGATACGCCTATGTAGTTGGCGAATCGAACGGACGTTCATTTAAATCCGAAGAAAGCCCTAACGAGCTAAGCAGGTTTGCTTCGCGTCCGCTCGCTAGCTTTGCTGTTGCTTCCCCATACAATTTTTTCCTCAAGCTAGAAGGAAGAGAAAAAACGAGAGGAAAAAGGCTATTGTTTAAAAATTTCCATGCTAAAAAATTAGGGGTATTCTTGAAACCAAAAGACAGACTTTTGCTGCTTGCTACCTTTGAAATGGGGTGTTCTCGTACTCTTGCAAATTTGGAATAGTATTTTTGCATTTCGTGCAATCCGTGCAACGTGCAATACTTCGAGAATACCTAGCTAAGTGTCAATACGTGGTGACCAGCGAGTGAGCTGTGACAATCTTTTAGTAAATAAACGATATTTCTGTATGTGCTAAGCCGTTTGATTTAAATACATATGTGATTATACCTGTTTTTATAGCTTTAATTTCTGTTTTGTGATAATGTTTAACTGATGAAATTTTCTAATTGACCAACGTATCTTAGGTAACCACAACCACTACAAAAAAAAAAAAGTAATAAAAAACGAGCAATGCATTTATAAAATTTATATTTAGATTAACTTTTATTTTTTTCTGTCATTTCCTTTTCACACCGATTTTTAATATTTTGGTTTAAAAATTCTTACATACTTCAAGTTTTCTAAGTAGCTTAATATGCCTCTTTTAATTATCTTGTATACAATATTAGGTTATCATACCTTCGATATGGTGGCCAGGATATCCATCAATAATGGGGAGCAGCAACACTTCACAGAAGTTTCCACACAGAGTGATACAGGCGTCATACAGCGTATTTGAACCCTCTCCACGTAACTCTGAACAATGTGAACCAAAAGTCCAAATTCAACCCTTGACAACGTTCGCTCATATCCCACTTGTTGCTGCTATGGTACCATTCAAAGAAATTCGCATTGACGACCAACTTACGTTTCTTCTGCCACAAAATGCATTGTATCCTATGTCAAAAATTTATGTACCAGTCGTTTTTCACTCAACACAAGGTTCGACTGTATCAGCAATTACTGTACGAGCGCGTGTAAAGTCAGGTGTAAAAATTTTGGGTGCTACGACATCGACCGATTTTTGGAGTATATCAATTGAGAAGGAAAATCAAAAACATACTACAGCTAGAGTTACAGCATTTAGAAAAGAATCAGAAGTACCTGCTGAGATTAACAGTGACACGAAAAACTCAAGCTTCGAGAACAGGTGATGAAACAATATATTATTTTGTGAAAAAGTTCACAAACTATTAATAACTTTGACTTTATTCATATGACGTTAATTCTTTATGAAATATATTTTTCATAATTTACATAAATCAATCTAAGCGCGTAAATAAATGCCTCGTAACCACGGAAAGCTCGTATACTTACTTAATTTTGTATGGAAAACCGGTTTATTTACGAGGCATTTACGCGTTTAGATGAGTACCCATATTCTAACTTTTTAATGGTGAAACACAATTTTCATAAATTATAGGGCCAGTATTGCAGATATTCGTAGATTATTAAATCCATCCCATTTATTGCAGATAAAAAATTGGAAGATATTACATTCTTCCTTATCCTGAGTTTCGCCCGAAAATAAGTTAATCCGAAAATTTTTATTCCCCCCATAGTAAATACATGAAAACCAAAACCAACCGGTTCGGGGAAAATTAAACTCATGATAAGGCTGAATGTTATAATTTGACGCTCCATCAACAATATCTCTTGCAAAAAATTATTTAAATACAAAATAAAAACACGTATTTTGTATTTGTATTTTAAATACTTAACATCTCTGGTTAGCAGTACCTATTTTATCCCCCCTTTCTTCTTTGAGCGCATGCTTATCCATTTCCCAATATATAATCTACACCAATCAAGTGCGGCTGATTTGCCGCTAATTAAACTTTAAATAATTTATACGTTAGAGAAAAGTGTCAGCTAAACATATTTCTCTCTATAAAAAGGTTTGGTATGTATATGTATAACTGCAATTCAACTGCCCTGTAGGATCTTGGAATAGACTTAGAGCACACCACAAACTAGACTGCAAGTGATTGTAAGTAGTCCAAAGTTTGGTCCAACAGCATGTAAAATTCTATTTACATTTAACATTGATCCTAGGCTCGGACCAATTGTCCGCTTCTGCATTACATTGTAACCAATTTTGGGGGGAAAAAACAAAAATAAAACTTGCGCCAGCTGCGATTCGAACCGGGGTTCTCAGATTTTCTAAGCGGATACTCTCTGCATGCAACGTCGCACATGAAAATTTGTTGACTAAGTGCCTACATATCAGCAAGTCGTTAATTGTACCCGTTGTCCGCTACTGCATGACATTGTAACCAGTTTTATGGGCTGTTTTTGCTTACGCGTAAAAGCACATTTAGCTCTAAATGCTACTCTAAATGTACATTTATCCATACAAAACTCGTCTCCTAAATGCAACTAAATGCAACTCCATTTTTGCATTAAGAATCTAAATGCTAAAAGCAACCCTGTGATCTTCCAAAATTTCCACGATTCGTACATGGCTTAATGAGAAAAGGTGGCAACATTGCTTTTTCGCGTATACAGTGGCTAGCTGCATTTCAGTGATCGCCGATCGAGATTTCATTTATTATTTTACATTATTTGGATAAACAAAAGTTACGCAAATTCAACATCGATGTGATGCTGATAGAAATCTGGATCAATTTGTGATCAACTTTGTTTGTTTTGTTTCCTAATTAAGTGAGTAAATTTTAATTGATAGCACCGACAAATGAATATATACACAAACAAATTTTCGGTTGTGGTTAAAACAATTCAAGTTTTTGTATTGAATTTTTGGTTTAAAATTTATGTTTTTCTTTTCAGTAGGGTTTTTTGCACATTATCTTCTGCGTGAGAATTGATCGTAATAGACACGGGTCTGAATAGGCGACTGGAACACGGCTGTTTGTCAAAAGCATACGATTTCGAACTCGCGTAAATGTACATTTGCTAAATGCGATAGCATGAACGCTCTTCGAAAAAATATGTTCGAAAGTGCTAAATGTTGCATTTTAAATGCAGCAAAAACACTGCATTAGATCAAAGCTCATACCTTATGCATTACATTCGGACCACTTTTAGTACAATACACCTGTTTTACATTACATTGTTTTATATTTTTGGACTATCTTTGGTCTAGATACAAAGCTACTATACCTACGACTATATTTTTCGAGCAATTGGACCAATCTTTCCTTCAGGGTATTTATTACCAAACCATGTATTGAGGGAAATACATTTTGTTGACTTATAACTGTAGGTCCCTCCCATTTGTGAGACAACATCAAGGCGCACGCCACAAATCGCAGGAGAAGCTCGGCCAAGCACTAGCAAATATGTAACCGCCAAATATATATTTTATTTTTAACTAACCTCCTTTCTCAGTTAAGGACTATTTTTTCGTGCGTGGTTATGTCTGGTTGATTTGTTCAATTTATTTATATCTTTAGAGTGGGCCGACACTTTATGGATGGTAGCTATCATATATAGCCACGAATATTTTTTAATTATTATATACGCTGTTTCGTGGCAGTATTGCTAAAATTGTTCCGATTGTAATGGCAGTTGGCAAGACAAGGAAATTTAGAATTATATTTATGTGGAATATTAAGTCTACATATACTACAGTGATTTCTGAAAATACAATGCGGCGTATTGTGCAAATTTGCCTTAGATTTGCATTTGTATTAGCATTTGCAAATGTTATGCTTGCAATCACGAATTTACAAATGCACTCAAATATGCAAATGCAATATCATATGTACAAGATCCTGAACAGCTCTAATGTGTTTTTTGCAATGCCGATAAACTTATACCGTTACAATTACATATGTACTTATTAGGGGAATTCTCTTAGTCTTTCAATATTGCGCTATAGCACGAAATGCATAAATCCTATACCAAAATATGCTAGAGCACGAGAATACCCCATGGCTAAGTTGTAGCATACATAGCAGGGATGCAAATTGGGAGAGAATTCCCCCATTTTCGTGGAATTGGACCTTTACGGGGGAATTGGGGAATGACTGAAAATTACTTTAATTATGTTATACATATCGCTCAATTACTTCGATAGTGTCATAATCCCGAAAATAAAAATAAAATAAAAAAATAAAAATTTTGAGTTGAGTATGCAGAAATCACCCTCTTCTTGTGTAAAAATTTTACAGCTGTATTGATAACGAGTATCTCAGTAGAATAAAATACGTATTTATTTTACTATATGTACTATATAACGTTGGCTTAGTGGCAATTTCAAAATAAAGCTGTTGCAGACTTATAGGCTCTTTTGGGACTTACCACATTTTCTCTTTATGACTTATGTGGACTTTTAATGTGGACTTAGCACATTTCCTATCAACCTGTTTTTCATTGTTTTTTATTGTTAAAAGATTTGGTTGTTTGTTTTAAATTTATTTTATTGTTTTAAAATGAATAATAATCTAACACAGTCTTATTTCATTGCTGTTAAAAAAATAACTATTTAAGTCGTAAATTTATTTACCATTTATAAAGGAAAATAATTATAATAATTAAAAACAAGTAAAGAAGTATAAGTTTGGGCGAAACCCAACTTTATATACCAGGCGCAAGTATCAAATATTGTCGTTTCAACTTTCTCTAAACTACCTTTGCATGATAAGCGGCGGTGTTTTCCCCGATTTCGAACGTTTTCGATAATATCGAAATATTTCGAATTAGACTTAATGATATAATTCAACCAAGTTTGGTAGAAATCGCTAAAGTGGTTACCGAGACACACCTTTGTAGTCATAAAGTTGGCGGTGCGGTGCCATGCCCAATTCCTAAATGTTGATAGCAGTCTTATTTATTGTTAAGTATACCCTTGGAGTAAATTAGCGTTCTCAGTTATTGAAATATCAGAGTTTCCGTATTTCTGAAATTAACCGTTAGATATATAGGAAGCGGGTGTAATTTTGGTCCGATTTGAATAGTTTTCAACGAATTACTGTTCCGTACCAAGTGCACCGAGTTTGGTAGAAATTGATAAATTATTTCCGAGTTACACACAGATTTCTTAGGTAAACCCTAAGCAAGGCTCGTACCGAGTTTAGTAAGGATTGGTGAATGGGCTACTGAGATACAGAGTTTCATCGTAAGTGGCGGGGTCACGCCCGATTTCCAAAAATTTCATAAGAATAATTTTTTACCAAAATTCCACTTCACATACTAATTTTCATTTGTATCCAATATTTAGTGAAATATCGTAGTTCTTGCATTTTCCGAAAATATGGGAAATATGGGAAGTGGGCGTGGTTACAGTCCGATCTAGCCCCTTTTCAATACCACCTACGTTGGATAAAAGGCAACCTATATACCAAATTTCGTTGAGATATCTAAATTTTTGCTCGAGTTTTCGTGTACACGGACACACGTGTTTATATTTTTTTCTTGATTTTTCTTTTTCGACTTAGCACATTTGCATACCACTGCACAACAACAGGCAAGAACGACATTACGGTAATTTTTTTTTTGTTGTAATAATTTATTTTGAGTTGTGCTATCTTACTGCATTAAAATCTCAATTTTCATAAAAAGTGGACTTGATATGTAGATTCAAAACTTTAAAGCCGTTTTTCTGGAGTTTTGCTTTTTTGAGTTGATACACTATTGAATTAACTAAATGAGCGATATGTAAATTATTCTTCTTCTTTTTATTTGGCGTTGTAACCGCCTAAGCGATTTTGGCCCAGTTCAACAAAGCACGCCAGTCGTTTTTCTTCTGTGCCAACTAACGCCAGTTGGAAATGCCAAGTGAAGCTAAGTCCTTCTCTACCTAGTCTTTCCATCGCAGTGGGGGCCTCCCTCTTCCTCTGCTACCACCAGCGGTTTCCGAGTTGAATGCTTTCAGAGCTGGAGCCAAGCCAGCGGAGCCGCGGTATTTTAATTCGCTGCACTATGTCCACGTCGTTGTAAAGCTCATACAGCTCACCGTTCCCTCGTCTGCGGTACTCGCCGTCGCCAACGCGTAAAGGCCCGTAAATCTTCCGCAAAATCTTTCTGTTGTTATTGTCTATGCTTCTGCGCCATATACCAGCACGGGTATGACGAGTAACTTATAGAGTGTGATTTTCGTACGTCGAGAGAAGACTTTACTCCTGAATTGCCTACTCAGTCCAAAGTAGCACTTGTTGGCAAGAGTGATTCTACATTGGATTTCCA